ATATATATATATATATATATATATATATATATATATATATTCTCTGTGTGTGTATGTATATGCGTATGTATGTACGTAGGGATCTTATTTGCAGAGAAAAGGAAAGGTTTTTCTGGTGGGTAGAGGCTAATGTGAGGGAGACGAAGAAAGCGGCCGACACAGGTGATGATGAGTGTTTGGAAATGGTGCCCAATTTACATATATATATATATATGCGTGTGTTTGTGTATGTGTGTGTATACACTAATACACACGTGTATGTATGTATGTATGTATGTATGTATGTATGTATGTATGTATGTATGTATGTATGTATGTGTGTGTGTGTGTATGTATGTATGTATGTATGTGTGTGTGTATGTATGTATGTATGTATGTAAAGTGAGGATATATATATGTAGCCCCTTAATGCTTGTGACACTTTGGGCATCATTTGTTTTTATTGTAATATTTTGGACCACCTTGATTTTACTTGTGTTCTAGATGCAATGAGGAAAGACAGGCGATATTAATCTCGTTACTTGGACCGACCAGTTAATGATATACAAGCCAATGATGTCATTTTCCATCTATAATTCGTATAACACTTGCGTCATTAGATCAATCATGCTACTGTGTATGTATGAAATTTATAATCGAGCAAGTTTTTTTTTAAAGTCGTGGCAACAATTTTGAAGACGCATTTTCCAAATTTGAAAAAAAGAATAATCCGATTTAATATGTAATTGCCTGCTCATATCTACAACCACAAATCATGCATGATTTTGGACTGTTGGATATAGTATACGGACACGATATTATTTATTATTCCGTCAGAAAATTATTGCATATGAGTTATAAAAGATTATGAACTAATCGTACGCGAGAGTGTTTAGATATATTCGAATTCGAATTTGAATGGTGCTTAATATATATACATATATGTGTTTTATACATGTACGTATAAAGACTATCTATCTATATATTTGAATGGTATAGGTTCTCTAGAAGAATTTTTTAAAATAATTAAGGATTTAATTTTATACAAACAATAGACATTTATTTTCACATTTTTCTTCATTATGAATGATTTAAATTGTCTCATTGTGACATGAAATTTTATATATATATATAATTCCGTTACTCTTATTTGATTTGGCTTAAAATATACATATCGTATGCTTAGGTGCTTTTATATATCCACCATCAAGGTATCTCATGCTTCCGCTAATCTCAGCCGTCCATTCGATGGGCCCACGTGGACCGAACAGACACAAATATGAACTTTTATTTGATTGGAATTTTCTATTCTTTCGTTACGAATTTATGATCTGTTATATATCTCTCGTTAAGATATGCTTGGCCTTTTCTTTCATTTTCTTCTCCATATATATATATATATATATATTATATATATTATTAAAAAATTTGTTAAATTCTGACCGTTGGATCAGAATCCGACAAGACACCACGTAACTGAAGTGGTTGAACACAGGACGTTGACGTAAAACGGTGTCGTCGAGATTGAGAGATGTTCCTCGTTCGCTGTGTTTGTCCCAACTATACAACGAATGGTCTAGCTAATAAAATAAATTAACCAGGATAATGTTATTTAGTTGATTAAATTTTCAGATAATTACGTAATTAGTAACAAACAAATGGTCTCTAGGGGGGGTTCTAATAGGCAATATCTAGACTTGCTCTAATAATATTTATTAATGTCATAATGACATGTTTTATTACTTTTAATACTGATGTGAGTTATGATTAATTGCGTGCGTTTTTTTTTTCGGTGTATAAAGGTTATATAATAAATATATACGCACACATATTGACGAATATATATATACATACATCTCACGCAATCAATATAAAACTATAAACCATAACATTTTTTTTTGTCTAACAATGTAAATTGGAAATTATGACTAGAGATTTAAAGGGCATTAAATTTTAAAGTTTTAACTGATGTGATCCACGTTCATGCCTTTAAGCAAATTACATCTTATTAATTATTATTATTATTATGACAAAAAATAATTTTCTCTTAATATTCATCGATTAAATGTACAATTGATCATTTAAAAATTAAAATATGTTGAAATATACATTTTTTGCAGTCAAACTAAAAATTTTATTATTGACATATGAGTTCGGGATTGACATGTTCAATTCAATGAGAGAGGTTCCTTGTCACTATACACACACGTATACATACAAGTATATGTATATGTATAAAACTTGTATACACATATACTTTCATTTATAACACCTATGATGAAAATGGAAGCGCGTGAGAGCAAACGAATGGAAGCTTACGCGTACTGATATGATTGGAAGGCCAAAACATGATTGATAATTATATCATTACATACACAAATACGTTTACATGCTCAAATTGAATGTGTATATATATATGTGCGTATGTACATGCATGTTCGTATTTTATGATGGTGCGAGGTCACACTGCACCCATCAATTCGCACGTAAACCCTGCCTTTTCATTATAAAATTATTTAGCAGAACCATCATATGATGTATTATGTATATATATATTATGGTTGAAACGATTATATAAATAATTGTAAAGCGGCATTAATTAGGGTTTTGGACGGTTCCAAACATGAAGCATTTGCCTCCGGTCCATGACGTACCATTCTGGTCACCTAACCACGGTCGCAAGCTACAGATTTTGCGCCACGTGGTTTATTTTGGGAAATACTTTTATACCCCATACACTAACATAAATTGCATATTGATTCTTTTATATATATACCATGACGACATAAATAGGTTCTGGGCTTACTTGTAATGGGCCAATATGAGCCCAATCTTAAAAAAGCGTGATCGAGAACAGCGATTACCAGAGCAATGTTCTAAAAGCGTGAAACGGATACTACATTTGATTCTTCCTCTTTTTTCTTTTTTGGATTGAGATTTTGTCCAAAACTAGAGACAGATCTCCCCATGCTTGCAAAATCAGCAACCATTACAAGAAGGCCGCAGAAAATCCTAACAACAGAGAGAGAGAGAGAGAGAGAGAGAGAGAGAGAGAGAGAGAGAGAGAGAGGGAGAGAGAGAGAGTGAGAGAGAGAGGGAAAAAAGATCAATCCTCAGAGGCAAACTTGGCTACCGGAGGAGTCGCAGGCAGGTTCGATCTTAGGGATCTTTTTCTTCCGATTATATTCCGAAGGCAACCTATCAAAAAACGAAACCTTTGTTTGAGTCCTCAGATGAAAAGGGTGTGAGGAAAGTCGGGGTTTTGAGGTTACCCCAATTGCAAGGTAGTGTCGGAATGGTGATCGTCGCTGTCATTATCGTCATCCAATGAAGAGCTCTTGCCTTCCATTCCCCTACCCAGAAGAGGAAATGAAGCCAGTATATGTAATTCCGTGTTCACTGCGGTTAACTCCAATGGTTCTGAACTTCCCTCGAACATCTCCAACTGAAGAGGATTGATTGTTGCAGAAGAGAGAAAAAAAAGACGATCCAGTTTAGACTTCGACTTTAGTTTTATGAATAAGAACGAGTCGAAGGGGTCGATTAGCTTGCCTGTTTGCGTAGCCTCTCGTTTTCTTCGAGGGCTTTTTTCTCCTTTAGAGGTGAGAACAAATGAAAACGAGTTCTTTAGATTTACTTGTCAAGAATGGTTTCCAAGAAGATAACTTACTTCTTCAAGAACTCTGTTTTTTACCTGTAACCGCGATCTTTCAATCTGATTGAGCAGAACCTGTGTCTGAATCAGACAAACTTTCAGTCAGAATGTATCGGAACCGGCTAAACCTTGAGATATTTGCATTGGTTATATTGAACGGGTCGGAACCTAGGAACTAGTTTTTTCCTTCACCTTCCGATCCTTGATATTCAACAAGGCTTCATTCAACTGGTTCTCAAGAGACAGCAGCTCCTGAAAGCTCAATCCATCCAGTTCCCTCCCATTCATTCTCCTGAAACATATCCCATGAATCAAAAAACCAAAGTACAGAGCCTCAAATTCTTGAAATGTTCAAGGGGCATACTCATATGAGAGGTGCAATCTCTCGAGCTCGCTCTTCAGAGAATCACTATCTTCCTGCTGTTACAACGGAGGAGGCGTGTCAGAACACGTCTAAACAGTGGAAATAGACACAGGGAAAGACAAGATATCATTGAAGAAACGTTACCGATGCGTCAATATCTTGGAAGAGACTGGGGTGCGGTTGCTGATGCTGAAGGAGTTGAGGTTGTTCCCAATGGTCGGAAGATACAGAGCTGTAGCCATATCTGGAAAGAGTTTGATGCATACTTCGCACCCAAAAGAGTAACTAAATCATCGACATCAGTCAAACCAGTAAGGCCAACAAAGCAAAAGTACGAATTCCTCTGCGATTCTCTGGTTTTTCACATGATCCTTCAATCTAATTCTGGTTCTTGGGCCTTACGTGTGAACCAAGATACTGGAACCTAGAAACCCAAACGTCTCGAATTCCCTCATTCTTTTGAGCCCTTTGGCATTGAAAGTTACATCCAAAAAAGAATCAAACTGAAGAATTACTTCAGAAGAGTCTGCAACTGTTTCTCACCATAATGGCCGATTCCAAAAATTCCCAATTGCGGGAGAAGCGATTTTGGGTTAGGGTTTAACCCATAACCCCTACTGATTTACATAAGAGAAATCGACGGAGAAAACCACGAAACATCGGAACCCGTAACTCGTTTTCGATTGCTAAGCACAAAGATCACGACTTTAACCAAAACCCATAAAAAAAGATCAAATCTTTTCCTTTGTTTCTGGTTCTGTTACCTGCTACTGGAGAAATCGTAAACCTTGCCGGTGCTGGAGAAGACGATAACCGCAACCTCTGCATCGCAGAGAATGGAAAGCTCTCTCGCCTTCTTCATCAGCCCGTTTCGCCTCTTGGAGAACCTCACTAGACGGCTGTTCACGTTGTCTATCCTCTTGATCTCAGTCTTCCCTCTCCCCATCTTCTTCTTCTGATCAAGAACAACAAAGAAGAAAATAAAAAAAAGAACAACAAAGAAATGATATGAATACGGTTTTCTTTTCGGTGACGATGGGTTCTTTTTTCTATATATACACACATAGAGGAGAGAGGGAAGGCAAAAGCAAAGACAGAGAAGGAAGTGTCCATATATAAACGGGATGCGTGCAATCGATTCGGATTCCGATTGGAGGCTAAGGACGGAAAATTCAACCAAAATTAGGGTATTTCATAAAAAGAGAAGACAGATCGAATTGCTATATCCGGCAACTCCCCGTTCTTGGTCCCTTGGGAGAGTGCCCTCTTTTCTTCTTTCGGAAAAAAAAAACTCGTTCAAGCCCTTTGTTTGGCTCTTTTCTCCTTTTGATTCCAAATTCCTTTTTAAAATTTTTTTTACCGCTGTAAGTACAGTAACCCCATCTATTTACTGTTGTTAACCAGGGCCATAATCCCAAGATTAAAAAACTCTTTTTTAAAAAAAAATCTTATTAATACCTCTTAAAAGACATAAATTTAATCGACACGGAAAAATATAATACTATTTTTTAACAGTTAATCATATGAAAAGAAAACTAAATCTGAATTTACCTAATGAAGAGGATGATATGAAAAGCAAAAGCTGCCTCTCTACTGTAAATAGTGCAATCTTAAATGGGGAAGAATTATTTCTGATCGAATCTTTCATATATGAACAAAATTCACACACACACACGCACACATATATATACATACATATATATATATATATATATATATGCAGTGCAAATGAAGTACCATCATGGCATCATTGACATGTGAATAGAGTAAAAATGGTAAATAATAAATGTGGTGTCCGGTTTTAAAGTAATGAAAATACCAAACTTTGTCAAAAAATAAATAAATAAATGTGGTGTCCGGAAACCTTTTTCTACTAGGTAATTTTCATAAATTTTGAAGTGCGATTAGTACAGTTATTATTGCTTTGGTAGTTCATCTTGGCTTAAAAAATATATTTTTTTTGTATAGAAATAATAACAAACTGTTATTATAAATACTATTTTTTATTATTGATTTAAATTAACTTAGGTCATTGTATTTCTATAGTTAAAATACCTGTTTCCAATATTAGATATTTCATCACTTACATGACTCTCTTTTTATATTTAAAATTGTAATACCGAAGATAAATTCTAAGAAAATAAAATATATTTTCCGTAAAATTAAAATTTAAAAATAGGTCCATGCTTATCCTAAACCCAAAAATATATACTTTTCATTTTTTTGACAAAAAAAACATTTTTCATCTTTACATCCCAAAAATAAAAACACAAACAAAAAGGAGGAAAAACGGAATAAAAATGACCAACTTACGGCAAGTTCCCTCTTTAGCTTTTGTAAATTCTCAACGAATCGAAGTCAAGCACCTCGAAAATTACTCTTATATTTTATGCAACCAAAATGTTAAATTCTCTTTTATTACTATGCTTATCAATAATTACAATAGAGACAAATATCTTATTTATATAAAATTATTCATATGGTGATGATTTTCAAGTTGGGAGATCAATAGTTATCTTACAATTTTTTTCTATAATTTATAAGTTTTTTATATCTCAAAATTTCCAAAATAATTATATTATGCATATATATTTTGGGCCTATGGGCCTATTACCCATAGGCAGTGAATGAGATTATGATGTGAAATGGGCCGAGCACTTACAGAAAATTACCTTTGCCACCAACTAAACCCGGTTTAAGTGGTTTTCTCCGGTTCTCGAACATTATTACTCCATTTACTTGCATTAATAATGTGCATTCTATATTGTAATACTCCATTGTCTGTATTGCATTCAAATCTAGACCGTACTAATTCCAAATCTCGACCACAAACCGGAAGAAGACAGGTTTTCTTAAACCGAATCTTAACCGAAATGAACAGAGATCGAACACGGCTTGACAAAAGATTTGAACTGGGAAAGAACAAAGCCTCCTTCTTTACAAAATCAAAAGCTTTCAAATGGACACAACACACAAAATCTACACATTATCTCTACAAAACGCCAAGGTTTTCTCTGTATCTTTCCGCGATTCATTAGCCTAAAAGAATCAAAGATTGAATCAGAAACTCGGAGGTGTAATTCTACGAACGGATCGATCATATGCTCGAGAGAGAAGTTTCCTGAATCTTCTCAGGTCGAGTTTCACGTTTTGGCGATCGAGATAGATCTTCTTCGTGAATTGCCACCCTCTTCTGTTGACGCTTTCCGGGTCTCGGATTATCGGATCGTTTCCGCCATACTCGTCGTATAGAGTGCTCTCCTTTGGCATAATCTTGTACGGGATGTACTTCAATCCAAGCTTCTTGGCTGGTACTCCGTAGTATGTCTCGGCAGCCCAGTCGGTTCCAATCGGGATGATCTGGATGAACACGGTTTCGGGTTTCAAGAACAGGAAATGCGTCATTGCAGCTCCGTGTACTCCAATCATCACATCGCTCGAGTTTAAGGACCGGTAGATCTTGGCCAGTTCTGCCGTTCTGTCCGGCTTCAGGATCTCAACCATGAACCCGAGCTCCTCCGCTAGTTCCACAAGGATATTCTCGTTGAGTATTGCCCTCGATCCGTTTCTCGACAGAATCACCAGTTTCGGCTTTTTCAACCCGTGTTCTTGTACTTTCTTGTCGATCTCGAGAGAATCAGACACAGGGGAAAAGGAAAGTGACTCACTTGCTCTTCTGTCTGCTGCTTTGTGCTCTTCATCGTCCTGAATTAAGCCATGGATGCGTGGCCAGTAGGACCTGTCCAACAAGTCTCTGAAATCAACAATGGTTTTACTCCCGGGCATCAAAGAAGAATTTACGGTCAGCTCGTCGTGAATTCTCAATCCGACAATGGCTTCCTTGAAACAGTGTGTCCTTAGATCTCGGCCGAAATCCACCGGAGGGTAATCCGAGAGCTGCGATACAATATCCCCATACTTCATCATCCACCAATCGTGATACTCCACAATCACAAACACAACCTTTTTCTCGAAATGCTGTGAAGTGATAAACAACGGGATGATCCCATCGTTGAATTCGTGATAAACGTTCCCTGTGTATCCGCCTGTGGAGAAGAACACAGCAGGAAGATCATGGTACACATCACAGACATGTCTAAAGCCTGAAGCTTTTTCGTCCTGGCTGATGAGATTGAGTTCCTGAACGGTGTCCATAACACTCGTCTCCCATTTTCGGGTGTAAGGTTTGATCTTTTCGGGTTTGAGCAGAGGTTTTCGATCCGTTTTCGCCGAGGTGAAGAGGAAGACCGAAGAAGAAGCAGAGTGTGTTCTTACATCACCCTTCATGATACAGATATCAGACCTGGAATTGGTTCTGTCACAGCAAATGGTTCCTGCAGTCAGAGTCAAAGAGGGACTTGTCGTTAATTTACAATACATCATGAAGCAGAACAGTTTCTGCCTTCGTGCACACGAGAGAGAAATAAACAGTTGTGGATTTTCTTGTAGGGACAAACATAACTGGACAAGATTTTGTCTGAAACATCGAATTCGGATATATTTTAGAATCCGAAAGTAAAGAGAATACTGACCATTGGAGATTCCAGAACACAGAGGTGCAATGAAGTGTTCATAAGGGCCAAGTCCTCCGCTTTCTCTGCCAAGCGGATCTGAGGGAGAAAACCCATAAATTAGAGAACAGACAAAAAATCAAAATCCCAATGAGAAATTAAAGAACACGACGAAAAAAACCCAGGAGCAAAAACAGAGCGTAATAGAGGAGAGGGAGAGAGAGACCTAGGAGAGAGAAAGTTGAGGAGAGGCTGAAGATGTGAGGAGCCATGACGAGGCAACAAGAGAGGAGAGCGAGAAAGAGAAGAGCGAGAATCTTCTGGTTCGCGCTCTTTAAGAACCCACCGCCTTTTTCTCCGGCAAGTCTAAACCTTTCCGCTTTCTTCGCATGGTGGATGATTAATCTCTGATACTGCACCATCCTAATGAAATACACACACACACACACATACACAAAAGCAAAACCCACGACCAAAGCTTCGACCTTTGTGATGGTTCTGGTCGACTTTAGCTGTCCAGATGACTTTTCAGATAAGCCCAAAAGGAGATTCACCCGGAAAAATAAAGAAATATTAAAAAAAAAAACAGGGGAAGACTTCTCCAGGAACAGAGAGAGGTTCAAAAATGGTTTCTTTGTTCTGGGTTCTGCTGCTTCTCTTACATCGAGAGAGAGAGAGAGATATGAAGAAGTATAAAGGGATGTTTTTAAAAATAAAAAAAAAATCAACGCGTTCCTCTTCTCCAGGGTAGCTTGCAGCGAAACAACGAAGAAGAAGAAGAGAGAGAGACCGTCAAAAAAGGAGACTCGAACCTTTGCATCGCTTTCGTTTTTCGCCTAACTCGGTTTCTTTTCCACTCTATTATCTTATTCTTTTCCATATTAATTGTGGACAAAGTTTCGTATTTTAAGAAGAAAACGCAAGTAATCCTTTGTGTGAGAATGAAGAATCAGACATTTTAAAAATATACGTTTATTTTCTTTGTATTTATGTTTTTTAGATTCTAAAATATTGAAACTATTTTGGTAGGATTTAAACTCTCAAAGGACATGATATTTAGTTTCACATATAAAATATAATTTCATATTGGATTAACTATATAGTTAGACCCCATATTCCAGCATATAATATACTTTATGTTATAATGAAATACGAAGAAGTGGGCACTGCTAGCATTGCATGTGATGAGTCGCCTATACTGCATGTGACCCTATACCACATTTACAAGTTAGGCTGGCTTTAGAAAACCACTCGTTTATTTTATTTCAAAATTTTCAATTATTTTGTATTTCGTCTTGTTTTTTTTTTCAATTTATAGTTATTGATGTACTGATATTCTAAAATTAAAAAAAATATTTGAATTCCGATGTTTTTTAATATAAGTTTGATTCGTATCACTAGTCGTTACAAATTTTTAATGCTGAAATTGTAATATTTATTCATCACATAGGTTGATCTAATTTAGAATAATAATATTGGGCCGAATCTAGTGAGCTTAAAGCCCAATTTTAAAACCGAACGTGGATTAACTGAAAAATGATATCCTCGTACAAGTTTATCCGTGTATCCAAACACTCCCTAATCGTCCAACTAAACCAACACATGGAATGGAACCCGCATGACTTTCCTAACAAGTCAACCAAAAGGAAATAAAAAAAAAACAAAAACAGACGTTAATTCCTGGAAAGGATTCTAGACCGTCCGATCAAATATAAAGTGACCCCACATCAAGGTACGATCCAGATCGTTTCTTTCAGGTGCACCGTATTACAACTCATTCCTTCCCTCGCCTCCTTGTCTATAAAAAGGGAAGCATCCTCGTGATTCTCTCCCCACATTTTTGTCGTGTTAATTTCCGTTTCGACTCTCTCTCCCACCCATCTTCGTTGGAGAAGACGATCGCTGAAGGCATCGGAGGGATCAGGTGGTGTAAATCTGGGGTTGAATTTCTTGAAATTAGTAATATTAGGGTTTCGATCATGTCGGACGCTTACTGCTCGGACTGCAAGAAGTCTACGGAGGTAGTGTTCGACCACTCGGCGGGTGACACCGTTTGCTCTGAGTGTGGTCTGGTTCTGGAATCACACTCCATTGACGAGACCTCTGAGTGGCGTACCTTCGCCAACGAGTCGGCAGACAACGATCCAGTCCGTGTCGGTGGACCTACCAACCCTCTTCTCGCCGATAGCGGTCTCTCCACCGTCATCGCCAAGCCCAAAGGTTCCTCCGGCGATTTCTTGACGTCTTCGCTCGGTCGGTGGCAGAACCGGGGTTCGAATCCGGACCGCGGTTTGATCATCGCTTTCAAAACCATCGCCACCATGTCGGATAGGTAGCGTTTGGATCCGCTATTGTATCGAGATTTGATTTTCATGATCTGGGTTTGGATTTCGGGGCTGACACTAGATAATGCTCTTTTTCTCTATATACGCGCCGGTGAAATTTACAAGGGGCAATAGAAATGTTGAGAGCTGGATGATGATATATCACATGATCTGTGTGAGAACTAATAGAATTTCTCTAGGTTTCTCTGGTTCGTTTTAATACTCACACAGAGGGGCCTTTGGTGTAACTTTCAGATGAACTTGTTCGCACCTTGCTTTGATTGATCATGCAATGTTGATAATGAGGCAAATTGCGCATTCTCATGAGATATTCAATCTGTTAGTAAATGATTATCAGTGGAGATTATCAAATATAGTGGAAGTGATGCCATTTTCACATCCATTGAAAAGTATAGTACATTCCTAACTTTGGTTAATCGTTTGGTTTCAGGTTGGGCCTTGTTGCAACCATCAAGGTAAGCTTTTTCGTCTAACCCAATCATCTTCTGAGGTTGACAGTATAGTGGGTGCCAAAGGGTTTGCGTATATGTTACTGGGACATGTTCTTGTTGCTGTTCATCTTTGTGACAGATTCAGTATGCCTTATCTGATTATGCCATTTACCACTCTTGGTTGTTCTTGATCTGAAGGACCGGGCTAATGAGATATTTAAGAGGGTGGAGGATCAAAAGTCAAGCAGAGGAAGAAACCAGGACGCGCTTTTGGCTGCTTGCCTCTATATTGCCTGTCGTCAAGAGGACAAGCCCCGGACTGTTAAGGGTACAGCTCAAAGATTTTTTTTTCTCTTGAGAATCTAATTCCGTTTGGATTTAGCTTTGCCATTAGTGAATTCTTTGCCTGAACCCTTTACATAGAAATTTGCTCTGTTGCCAATGGAGCCACAAAGAAGGAAATTGGCCGAGCAAAAGAATACATAGTTAAAACCTTGGGGCTGGAAACTGGTCAGTCCGTGGAAATGGGCACTATACATGCTGGAGACTTTATGGTGAGTTCATCTTTAAACTCGCAGTTATTAGGAATGGGGGATACCTTACGGATTTGCGCTTACTCTGACGTTGAATTCATTCTGCAGCGGCGGTTTTGCTCCAACCTTGGTACAAATAACCAAGCAGTTAAAGCTGCCCAGGAAGCTGTTAAAAAATCCGAGGAGTTTGATATAAGGTACATTGTGGCTTGATTGTTGTTATTGATTGTGTTTTGACATGTTGTATTCCTTGAAAATTTGTATATTCTTCTTAACCTGTTTCCTTGGTGCCTATATATATTGGCTGTTTCTTTTACATGTTTGACTAAGACAATAGGGAGCAAAGATCATTGGGCAGATTTTCTAGAAAAAACCAAATTTTATTGACATGAATCACGTGGATGTGTAGCCCGAGATGTGCAGCAAAGTTATGCGTTATATGTATATATAAATGTGTGTGTGACTGTGTCCTTATCCAACTTTCTGTGCAGGAGGAGCCCTATATCAATAGCGGCGGCAGTTATTTACATAATAACTCAACTTTCAGATGACAAGAAGCCGCTCAAAGGTTTGTCGCCTGCTATTTTTGTTTTTTCCACCAAAGACTATGGCTTGAACCAATGAAATATGACTAAATGGGAATGGTGAGGCAGATATTTCACTGGCTACTGGAGTGGCCGAAGGGACGATAAGAAATTCGTACAAGGACTTGTACCCGCATCTTCCCAAGATAATACCGAGCTGGTACGCCAAGGAAGAGGATCTTAAAAGCCTTTCCAGTCCTTAGGCAAAATATTGCAGTTGGAAGTTCTGTTCGCAGGTTTTTTCTTATTCTTTTCGCATGCAACAGTAGTGACTATTGAGAATGGTAGGATCGGATTCATGGAGGCTTTCATCACCCTTTTTTTTCTTTGTAATCACAAAACATTCTTGTAAACTGCACATGGAGTTGTATTTTTATTTTTTCCGGCAAATGTATCTTTCACGCAGGAGTTGCGAAATTGTTCCGCTTGGAACCTGTAATGGTAAGAGATTGCAATATGTAACAAAAGTCATAACATTTATTTTTATATTATAATACGAGATAAAAACAAATTATCATACCAATTCTAGAAAAGAAGTGAAGAATCAGAACTTGATGACAGATAATACAGATTCTAACATGAAAGCTTTTTATTAAAAAAAACAAAAAAAACTCTCGACATAGTTTTCTGCAAGGGGTAAAACATGTTTCAAATGCTTAAGTAATAAGATAGCAAGAATCTTATTACAAGACACATACATGACATAGAGCCATTTTCTGTAAAAAAAAAAAAGAAGCTTTTTTTTCCCTCTAGAGTGTAAACGCAATAACCAAGTGATGATTCATTAAGGTTGGTCTAGAAGTGAAGGCCTGTAGAACTTATGGCTCTGCCCAAACTCGATCCTGTCTCTTGGATCGTTCAGTGTTTCGTCCCTTAACGCTTGCAGGATCGCCTTTGTTGTTTGTTCCCTGTGGAAACCATGGGAAAAAGATGGTAAAAAGATTCAATGCCTATGAAAGGAAAAAAAAATCGGAACTTTCAGCATTTTTTGTGTCAAATTCTGCAGGAAAGTCGGAAACTTTCAAAGATCAGGTGGTACCTTGTGATGAGAATCTTGTAAAGGGTCTTCAAGATCGGGCAAGATTCAACCGGGGCCACGGGTTTCTTCTCCTCCGGGTGCATGATGCTTAGGCTCGACTGGCTAAGCAGCTGATAAAATGCTCCCACCGCCGAAACACCCTATTATACAGCACATTTCCACGGGAGAAAAATCTCGAACTCAAACCCAGATTCCAAAAGTTTCATCCTTTTTCCAATGGGTATTCTGTTTTTTGTAAGGGAAAAAGTACCTGAATCATTCCCTTGCCGCTGATGCTATCGCCCATGTCTCTGCTTATCTCACCTTTGGCCAGCATTTGGCCGTACCATGCATTACGCCCCTTTAGTAGGGTCACGTAAGTGTCGGCTAGTAGAGGTCCCGCCAGTTTCTCGGGTTCTTCCGCTAGCAAATGAGTTATAAATATCATCTCGGATGTACAATGGGCGAAATACACTGACTTGCTCGTAGCACTCTCGTTGGTGAGCGCCGCTACCATTCCTGAAAACGAACGGAAAATATCACAACTTTGGATTTCTGGTATCTTTTCAAAGATACATTTTTTTTCATCGAGGAAAACAACGTCATTTTTACCCGCTCCAATGGCGTAGACATTCTTGAGACCTCCCATCACTTCATGGGTCACAAGATCGCTGTTGTCCCACACGATGAAATGGGGCTGTCGTAGAAATTTCGATAAGGGTTTCCTCCATTTCTCAGCCCCGCATATTCTAGCATTCGCGTATTCCTTGTTGTATATCTCTGCTGCAATATTCGGTCCACCCAGATACAGTATGTTCTCGATAGGTACCCCGGCTATCACAGATTTTATCAACAGACAACAGATACCAGATTCAGAAATAAGTTTACCATTTTGGCAACCAATATCTACTGTAAGAGAGTTCCAAGATCTGAGTGACTTTAGCAGACAAATGTTCAGCAAAAGGAAACAGCTTGCGAATCAAAAACCGAATCAGAAATGCAAAAAAGAATAAACACTTACTTGCTTGGTGGATCATCTTTGTCGGGGTTATGATATGTGGAACCGGTTCAAGAGCAGCTTCAATGCCCTTTGACAGAGAAATGATGATGGGAACTGTTATTCTCTCCTGCCAATACTTGCTGATCTCTTCAAACACTTCACGCGTTTCCGTAGAAGGCAATCCATTAACGACGATATCTGCATCCCAGACCGCTTCTTGCAAATTCGTCACAACCTTTAAGGGGCAGAGCGGAGTATCTATCATGTTCAGACAAAACCCGTCTTTCAGAATCTCGTCTGCATACAGCGTCCTGTCCCCTAGCCTTGCCTCGACATATTTCAGATAAGCACATCGTCTTATCAGTCTCCTCAGCACGTGTTCCCGTGAATTGATCACTTCGAACAAGTGTTCGGCAGTGGCTCTGTCCACGGCTCGGCCGGGTCTCCTCCATATCCTGATCTGGAACTTCTCCCTGAAGTTTCCATAGCTTTCTTGGAGAAGTGCCGCAAAAACACTTCCCCAAGCTCCGGCACCAACGCTTACAATTCTCAGTGGATCATTGTCGGATTTCCCCAGAAGATGGCGGAGAGTGTCCAGTTTCTCCTCCAGACTGATGCCATTATGGTGAACAGACCCGTTTGAAGGCATGTTCTTGGCCTCAATGCTTCCCACCATTTTTTCCCCACACCAAGAAATCAAACAATCCACGGCAATAGACAGTGTTTACAAATGATTTTCCAGGTGGGTTTCTCTGATTTCTTCAATGGATCCAACCCAGAAAGAGATATATACGCAATCGATTCTGATATGAAAAATACCAACTTGAGGCACTCCCAAATCACACCTTGCTCAAAAAGAATTAAGATTTTCTTGGTTCGCTAACCCGATTTTCTCACCAACCAAACAGGGGGCTTTTTCAGGCCTAGCTCAGCTGCTTCATCCATGCAACAAAGGCAAATCAAAAACCAGATTACAGTAAATAAATACCAGAAGAAACCCTGTTAAATAGCGCTACTGCCTGTCATCATCACACGAAATGCAGAAGAAATTCCACAGAAGAAAGAATATTAAAATAAAATAAGAGATCGAAGGTGGGCAGCTTTGTTAGCTCCGTCTAAGTTTGTTCATCTACCCCATAGGAAGGACCGAACAAAGAGTTGGAAGACAAAAGACAAGTCAAGAAGAGACCTTTTCGTGTCGGCAACAACAAAGCAAAAGCCTCCGAATCAGAAATCTGGAGGGTGGAAAACTTCGAAATCATAAAACTTGCATGCCGAAGAGAAACGTGAAAATGCTGAGCTTAGCGATGAAACGTTGGGGGGGTGATAATGAAACGTACCACACCAGAGAGAGAGAGATGGGCACAAGCATTGATGGGTACAGTTGGGGAAAAGCATAAATTTTTGGGAAAATTTTTCAATTAATAGATTTGTGGGCATTGGGGGGAAGAGCCTAACTTCGTCGACTGCCATTAATGGTGATCTGATCTCCGCTATCTTCTTCTTCACCGTCAATCATCACTCTACGCCTCCATTTTCTGGTTAGCTTGAGCTTTCAGCCTCCAGTCACATTCACATTTGCACAGAAACCCCTAAAGAGTCTCCATAAACGTCGATGAATTACACATTTACTTTAGGAGGGTTATTGTTGATTCCAATTAATTCTGTTTATTTTAATTTTAATTTTTAATTAGGTTCTTTATTTGTTTTTTAAATTAATTTAGATTTCAATCTGTTTGCAGTATATTACTAGTATTTACTATTGTGTTGTATTTCGCACATCAAAATGCAAATGTGCTTGTTTTATTTTATGTAAATATGAGAAAACCCATTAGAGACTGATCCCTTTACAAAAACACCACATTTTTTCAAAATCAAATTCTCAAATTGGATATAAAACAATAACAACAATATTATTGTTATTATTATTATCATCATTATTATAATTATAATATGCGGCCATGCTTTGGCATTGATCACCATTGTGGACAGTTGGACCGACAAGGTTGTTGAGCGAAACTAGAAAACTCTCGTAAAGGATATGTTTCTAACAACTCTTTAACCCCAATTAATTGCGATTGCGATTCCACGGGATATGTGCAGTTCATGGTCTTTGCTTAATGAGAATATTGATTAGTGGCACTATAATCCATTTGAACGAATCAATAAGTTTGGGGCACAAATTAAAAATTAAAAATTACATGGGCAATTTTGGAGATACGAAAAGTACTATTCCATGCGGCCATGCCGGAGCGAAAATTAACCTAAAACCACAATCCTCTTTCCCTCTGCCGTTTTCGGGCTCAAAGGTTATAT